GGTCCCTTTAAGCACAGCCCTCGGCTAGCCTGAGACAGCATCTCCACGCTCTAAGTCCTCCTGTGTTGCCCTGCCGGCACTGCTTCCGGCCATCCTTAACCCCGGTTCAGGGTCCACTTAATGTGGACATGCTAGTTCGAATTAGCAAAACGCTAATTCGAACTAGTTTTTTAGTCTGGATCCGTTAGTTCGAATTAGCTTAGTTCAAATTAGTTAATTCGAACTAAGTTAGTTCGAATTAGCGCTGTAGTGTAGATATACCCTGACTGCTTTTCGGCACTGCTTCCGGCCATCCTTAACCCCGGTTCAGGGTCCACTTAATGTGGACATGCTAGTTCGAATTAGCAAAACGCTAATTCGAACTAGTTTTTTAGTCTGGATCCGTTAGTTCGAATTAGCTTAGTTCAAATTAGTTAATTCGAACTAAGTTAGTTCGAATTAGCGCTGTAGTGTAGATATACCCTGACTGCTTTTCTTCAGTCTTCACTACGAAGAATGTTGGTAAGATTGCTATGTTGGATCTGTTCTTGCTTCATACAAATGTGAAGTATTGGCAGCATTGAGATGACAAAAAAAAGGGTGTTAGAGAAAACTGATCATTTAAAATGCAGTGAGTCACCAGGCCCACATGTGTTATGAGTTCTGAAGGAGCTCAAGTATAAAGAAGTTGGGCTACTTTTTAGAAACAAGTGTTTTTCTTATTAAAAACATCCACTCTTACAAAGGCTCAGAAGGAAGCAAATGTTATAGCTATATCTGTAAAAAGAAATCTAAAGGTGACCTAGGGAATTACACAGGTATGTCTTATATCTGTGTCTGGCAAGTTCTGTAAAATGAGGATTAAAACCAGAATACCATCACATATGGAAGATCATGGTATGACAAGGTACAATTATCATGGATTCTGCAGAGGAAAATTGTGTCTTACATTTTGAATATGTCAGTAAAGTAGTGAATTAAGGAAATCCAGTTGACATAACTTATTCAGACTTCCAAAAGATCTTTGAGAAAGTCCCACACATGAACACAAAGGAGCAAAGTAGTCATGGGATAAGAGGCAAAGTACTGTTTTAAGTCAGAAACCTGGCTAGGAGACAAAGCACAGAGTAGAATCAATCAACTTTGATCAAGACAAAAGGCGAATAGCAGGGTGCCCTAATGCTCCATACTAGGTCATGTATTATTTCATATATTAATCTGGAAAGGCAAATAAGGAACTAGTAAAGAAAACTTGCAGATTACACAAAATTATTTAAGTTAGTCAGGACTCACAGATGACTGTGAGGAACATCAGAGACACCTAAACACGCTCTCACAGATGACTGTGAGGAACATCAGACACACCTAAACACGCTGAGTAAGTGGGCAACACTATCACAAATTAAATTGAATGTCAACAAATGCCAAATAACACACGTTGGAGGAGAAAATTTAAAATGCTACTACTGTACACTTCATAGCATTCAAGAAAGGGGCCTGAGTGGACAGATCAATAGGAATCACTGCTCATTGTACAGCTGCAGTTTAAAAAGAAAAAAAGAAAAAAAAAGAAGCTTGGATCCATAAGGACCATAAATCTGAAAATATTGTCTTCATAAAATCAGAAGTGAGCCCTGACATGAATCTGTGTGCAATCCAGGTCATTTTGTCTCAAAATGGATAGTATAGAACAGGGAGACAGGGTGGGAGCTTCAGGGAAGTGCAATCAGAGGTCTAGAAAATCTTGTATATGAAAAGAGATGGGAAAGATTGGGATTGTTAGCGTAGAAAGGAGATGGTTAAGAAGGAACAGGACAAACGTACATACAAGAAATGCTACGAAGAAGGTAGACTGGCAACTTCTCGTATTATGAAATAGGAAAATTGAACAAAGGAACATTCAATTGAAAAATAAGGTGGGAAATTCAAAAAGGACAATAGGAAACACTATAAAAATAGTTCCAGCACCACTGACCCTTGTTCAGGTTCAAGTATATGGTTTCCTCCTGGATTGCTAGAAGTTGGGGAGTGGGGGGAGAGACCATATGCTTGTATGGTGCCTCCTGGAGTGAGAACTCTAAGCCTTAGCAGCATAGTAAAGTTTAGACATCTAAAGTTAGAAGGCAGGCAGTGAGAAAATCTCTTACTGGTTTGGGCGATCCCCAGAGCATGGTAGGCACACACCTGTCTGGGGAGAGCCTCATTTAACTTGTATATAGTTTTCAACGGTGTTTCTGCTAAAATAAAGTTTGTAGATGTCATTAGCCCAGCAAACTGCAATAGTGCCACTATTGCTTTTCTACAGGTATATGTAGTGTCAGTTTCAAAGGTCATCTCCTGCGGTCAGCGTATGGTGTTGCAGCACTCCACTAGAGGAAGTCTGAACTTACAGAAGGAAGGAAGATGAAGGAGTGATAAAGTATCTAAGCGGTCTTCTTCCAAAAGAATGAAATTAGCTTGAGTAATGGCCAGACTGGTTGATCCTCTCCATTATGACAAATAAAAGTAAGAGGTAAGAAACTAATTTTATGTTCTGTATTGATAAAATGAATATTATACACTCTATTCAGTTTACTTTTTATGTGATCTCAGAAGCAGAGACGACCTCACCCCCCCAAATTTGAAGTTCCTCATCACATTTAAATATGTACATAGCATTGACAGTATACATAGTGATTTTTAACTGAGGGTATTCATGATCTCTGAAAAGTGGATTAATATTCTTGGAAAAACAATTTAAACAAATAAGGCCCTGCTATGCCATCTGATTTAACAAAGGAAGGGCAAGTTGTGGCAGAAATTAGGAGTACAGTAAAACTTTGTATTGAAATTAGCATTAAATGCTTTAAGACCTCTTCTGGGAATTCAAACATTAAAGAAAGTCATAAAAATGTTAATTTATATTAAACTCAATCTAGAATGATAGAAAAGTGCTAAACTCTCTCCTAACTACTTTAACATAGAAAATAGAGCTGAAAAGAGATCTTTTCCTGGCAGGAAACTTGGTAAGGGCAACAGCTGAACCAAACTACTTCAAAGGACTATCTAGACTTCTGAATAAATTAGAATAGAATAGAAATGGCCCAAAACCAATTTCTCCATTCTGTACAAATCAGGCTATATTTTGCGTTTTGTTCTTCTTTCAAAAGGTTCAAATGAAAATATATGTTGCTTTACTGGACTAACTATCAAATCACCTCTCACATTTCAGATAGATGTGGTAGTATTTAGAGTAATAAACTTGCTAAATAAATACAGATGGCTTTCCCATCTTCACACATGTAGAGTCAAAAAATTCTCTTCAATGATGGTCTTGAATCTTGGGGGAGAAGATATGTGGCATGAGAGAAGAAGGAAGAAGAGTGAAAGCCCCTTTATTTGCAAGAAAGAAGGAAAGTTTGTTGGGGTCTCTGAAACAACCTTCTATTCCCTCTTAGGCTATGTCTAGACTACAACCTTTTTCTGCTTCTTTTTTTTTTTTCTTCAGAAGAGGCTTTTCCAAAATTTGGCGCATCTACACTGGGCCAAATTTCGGGAAAAAAGCCTGTCTTTCAGAAGATCCCTTCTTCCTTGTGGAATGAGGAAGACAGGGCTTCTGAAAAAGTGCATCTACTCTTCCCCTTGTGGAATGAGGAAGACAGGGCTTCTGAAAAAGTGTGTCTACTCTTCCGGAAAAAACAGCGGAAGATCAAACGCGTTCCCTTGACACATAGTCTAGATGTACCCTTAGTCCCCCAAAATAGTATGACTAAGTACTCTATTCGCAACTTGGTATAGCAGAGTTCTCATGCTGCCAGCTAATGCAGTAAATAGAGCTAGGTAAATAATTTTGTATTAATTTATTTGCTGAAAACTGCAATTTTGGTGGACTCAAAAGATATGGAAAGCCAGATATAGTTCTCTGGGAAACCTTTATTCAGCTCTCTGAATTAGAATACAATCTTTAATTACTTGATCACAAACCATTTTCCCAAAACCTCTGTCTCATTTAGTGACTGGCCTGGATAATGCTCTGCGAATAAATCCCAGTAGATTAGTGAATGAGGCTTCTTGTAGGATCCCTGAAATCAAGAGGAGATCTGGATGCTCAGCATTGCTGGGTGGAAGGCAGTGTGGGCAGAAAAAAATGATCACAGTTTTGGGAGGCAGTTGCTCTTGAGCTTAATCCTGGCTCTGACTGATTCACTGTCTTCCATCTGTGAAATGAAGACAATGACACTCTCTTATCACTCAGTGAAGGAAAAATCATTAATGTTTGTGAGCCTCTGCCCTTGAATGGCCTAGAGAAGAAAATGCAAAATTAATATTTCTGTGTCCATTGCAGGCATTCAGTGATATTCAGTAAATCAGACCAGGGTCACTCATTGATTACAGTTCAATATTTTTTATCCTCTTCCAATTTCCTGATCACAATTCAGCCTTCTGCATTGAAAGAATCAAAGGCCTTGTGGAAGAAATAGCACATGAACATATAAACTACATAAACAGCAAAACTAAGTGTGCACAGGAAGCTTAAATTCTGGCATTTCCTCCTCCGGAACAGGGCTTTATTTCGGAGGATCGGATTCCTGAGCACTTGACAATGCAATATAAATAATGTTCTTTGAACATAGTTCTTGAGTGCAATTTTTGTTGAATGGCTTACAGTACTTCTGACCTAACCTGATGTTCCCAGACAGAAATGAAGTGAAGACTGCAAATGTGTTTTAGTAGAATCCAGCTAACATGTGGACCAGGACCAGCCTTTGGACAAGATGATCGAGGCAGTTGCCTTTGGCCTCGCACATTCAGGGCCCTGTGGGCATTCAGGACCCCGCACTGGCCAGCTACCGGCCCTGCCCACCTGGCTAGGAGCCATGTGGCTGTACGACTCAGTGGGCTGCCTTGGGCCCTGCACACTCTTTGGCCGGGCCTGATGTGGACCCTTTGTTGGTTACTGCTTGTGAAGCTGTTCAGTGACCCAATGCAGGTTTCTATAACCAGTCCTAAAAAGTTACACTTGGGAGAATTCTTAGATTTAGAGCTACAAACTTAAATAGGTCAAGGAATGCTAAAATGAGGGTAACAGAGAGAAAAAGACCTAAATGATATTAATGGAAAATGTTAGAAAATAAGAATAATGCAGGTGTGATTGTTGGAATCTCAATGACTAATGTATTTCTTCACAAGAAAACAGAAGTGTTCCAGTGGTGTTAATTTAGATTTCCACCTAGGCAAGTAGGAGAAGAATATATATTATTATATTAAGGGCCAGCTCCTGTTTCCAGTGAAATCAAAGCCAAAAATGTTATTGACTTCAATAGGAGCAGTATATGATGAATTAATTATATTCAATTTTGATCTTTTCAGAATTATATTTACAACTACAAAATGTGCTTTGAAGCACTGAACTAATTCTCCTTACAACTGGTTTTGAATGCATGGAAGTATGTGGAAATACTGCTAGAGTACCTCTGTTTTGAAATAATAAAGTGATTTTTCTAACTAGGGATTTATCAGTATGTGATGTCTTACATTCAGCTATGTTTGGATATTTAAAAAGAGAGAGGAGCTCGGTGAGTTTTGGCTTTTCCAAATAAACATAACTCTGAAATTTGGGGCTAAGAATATGACATAGTATTTTAAAAGATACACAAATATATGCCAATGTTGAATTAAGGGAGCCCTGAAGTTTCTCTGTAGTTCATAGCCTTGCTATGTTGGAGATCATCCTCCAAATTCTTGATGGCAAAACGAAACTTTCAATAATTGAAAGCATTATCTTTCGAAAAAGCGGATTTCTCTTTCAAAAGATCCGCCTGCAGTCTAGACGCGATCTTTCGAAAGAGGCTCTTTCGAAAGATGCTTTCGAAAGAGCCTCTTTCGAAAGAAGCCTGCAGTCTAGACATAGCCAATGAGTATTGAGACAATCACATTGGAATTCTGCTTTAGTATGAAAGCTTTCAGTTCTTAAATTCATAAATGCTGTGTATCATTATAACAAAACAAGATTCTGCTCTAAGATCTGTGTGACTGATCTGATATTAGTAATAAATATTGCCATGTACAACAAGCTCTACTTGAACTGCACTGTTTTCCCCATATTCAAATCAATTGATTTGCATCTTATATAATAAGATGAGATCTCCAAGATCTCCACGAGTTAACTTAAAAATAAAAGTTAGATGTTTTAAGAGAGACTGAAGGTGGAGTAAGCAAGGGAGAATAAGAGGGTACAGAGTATGCAAACGTTCTAGAAATGTATTGTTGTTGTTTTTTAAATAGCAGGTGAACACTAATTACATTGTGACTACTTTTCTTTAGCATAGATGGCAGTCTAGGTATTTATATGGATTCCATCACCGAGCTCATTACAAACTTACGAGGAAGGAAAGTAGTATTATCCCATTTACAAACCAGGAATGGATACACATATTCAAGACAAAGAATAAGATCCTGGTCTCACTTAAATGAATGGGAGTTAAGATCATATATCTTTTTGGTCTATTCTCGCAATATATATATATTCTCTCTATATAGACCAAAAGTTATAGGGCATGTGAAAAGTAATGTAAGTGTATAAGTCTTTTAATACTAATTAAAGTTAATACTTGAATCTATTAGGCTGTGTCTACACTAGGCCACTTATTCCGGAAAAGCAGCCGCTTTTCTGGAATAAGCTGTGAGCTGTCTACACTGGCCGCTTACTTTTCCGGAAAAGCAATGACGATCTACTGTAAAATTGTCAGTGTTTTTCCGGAAAAACTATGCTGCTCCCATTCGGGCAAAAGTCCTTTTTCCAGAAAAACTGTTCCGGAAAAGGGCCAGTGTAGATAGCACAGTAGTCTTTTCCGCAAAAAAGCCCCGATCGCGAAAATGACGATTGGGGCTTTTTTCCAGAAAAGCGCGTCTACATTGGCCATGGACGCTTTTCCGGAAAAAGTGCTTTTCCGGAAAAGCATCCTGCCAATGTAGACACGCTTTTTCCGGAAATACTTATAATGGAAAACTGTTCCGTTTTAAGCATTTCCAGAAAAGGGTGCCAGTGTAGACGTAGCCCTACAGTATAGAGTACATAGAAAATTATTCTCAGTTCTATAATACATCTGAAAGAAATTAAAGAACACTCTCATTGCCTTGCCATTATTGCTTTAAGGGCAGGATTTGCTTTTTAATAACTCATGATACAAAGAGCAGATATATTTTTACTGGGAACATTTACCTTATTTTATCCTTCCTGCTCTAAAATCGCTCCTGTTAGCAACTATACAGCAATTACAGGTAACAAGTGGTAAATGGCAGGGAGAAAATCACCTGGGAAGCTAAGGCTATAGGACATGAGAGAGCCCCAGCCATTGAGGGAAAACAGTAACTGAGCACAAGGGAGGTATGCTGTCCAAAATATCTGCATTCAAGCCCCAGTCCCAACCACAGAAAAGATGAATGTGGGTTCAGAAAGCAGCTTTTGTCAGAAAGTCTAATCACCTGGCTCATCACGTCGAGCTCCCCAATCAAGCCTCAATCAAAGGCACAATTTGGGGTCTCAAACATTCGGCTGCATGATGTTGTACATTCTTGGGCTGACCTCCGCCTAATGCCAATATGAATACACAGAAGAATTGTGTGGTTCTTCCCTGTTGCTAAGGGGATGAATAGTCTAGGCAAAAGTAATTTAAACCACTTCGACTCAGTGAGACCCCGGGAAAGTGAAGCTAATAAAGGTAGCCAAGAAGGAACCTGTCGAGATGTTAAAGGGATATGATGAGCCTATTCGTTATTGCTCGGGAGAGAGAACTCGGAACTGTCTGTTTTCACTGCGTTCTTTCTGCCCCGATCTGCCCTTTCTAAAAGCGAAGCAATGTTCAGGTTTCCTGAAAACCAGAGAGGAAGGGCTGGGCTCCACCTGCCCTATTGGCAGCTGTAATTCGCTGTAGCTCCGAGATGAGAACGAAGCACAATTTCCCTGCATCAGATAACCTGCGCCTCGCTGCGCGCTGTCCAGCAGTAAAACACACTGGGAGCTCTTAAGAGGCTAGAGGTGTCCCTAGTCACGGATTTCTTCTTACTCCAAGCACCAGTGCAGGGCGTCTGCAGTCATTTGAGACTGGAGCTTTGACAAGGGAAGCGAAAGCACCAGAGACTCGGGAGACCCTCTCTCTCGAGATTTGTACTCACTACAGGCACCCCACATGTTCTCTCAGAAAAGAATAGACTGTCTGTGGTAACCTTGTGTCCTGGGGGCAGCCCAGGGGTGGGGTGTGTGTCGGGGTGGAGGGGCGGGGAATAGGACAAATGAATAGGCACTTTTTGGAGGATCTGATGGGCACCTCCAAAGCTGGCCAATGCTAGAATTTCACCAGCTATTTTCATGCGCTTTGGGAGCCTCTTAAAATGTTCCCTTCCCTCCTCCCACCCAAGGCTTTTCCCTCTCCCCCAGGAGTACACAGCTGGATAAGCATACAGTGAGAACAATGATTAAAATACAAGAAAAATATACGGATGTGAAATTAAAGAAACTAATAGAAGAGGTAAGAACAAACATGAGTATATAGGGGGAAGTAAAACATACATAGTGTGAACCTGCCATTGTTTGTTACACTCATCACTGAGGGCCTAATACTGCCAGCACTTATGCAGATTAATCACTTTACTCACATGAGTTATTCTGTAGGTTTCCGTTCAGGTAATTCTTTTATGTGACTGCAGGTTTAGTGCCACATTATAATTATGATTAAGAATAATGGGTTAAATTCTGTAACTTATTGTTCTTGGTTTATGCTGGTTTAAGCAATAGCAAAGTGCTGCAAGTCCCACTGAAGTTCTCAAAATCTGGCAAAATTACTTAACTGCCTAAGTGTACACATGATCAGAATGAATATGTGGGGAAATGGGAAACAGCGAACAAGCCAAAGGCACTATCCTGACATGTACTGAGTGATTCCAAGAGGTGATGTCTGCCCCCTGCTGTCATTGGCTTAAATGGGTGTAGATGGGGTCAGCATCTCTCTAAAACTCATCACTTTTGATCAGGTCTTTGTTTAAAATAGTGTTTCATGTGTTCTTTCTGTTTTGGAAATGTTCCCAAGAATCCAACTCAGGTTTTCTTAGCTTGAGAGCCACAGCTGCAGTGATTCTTGTCAAGCATATTGAAAATTTGAAAGCAGAGAACATATCTGAGCTGCTTGATTGGCACCACCATTATTTAAGGAAATTCTTTTCCCATAATAAACCATTTTCCCAGTTGCTTTAAACTTTGCCAAATGTTTTACTGTTGAAGCTGAAATTTCCCATGCCAAAATTCTTTTCCCATAATAAACCATTTTCCTGGTTGCTTTACACTTTGCCAAATGTTTTACTGTTGAGGCTGAAATTTCCCATGCCAAGTGTCTGTTTTAGGCAGATATTTTTGAATTTCCACTAAAATTGCTGTTTCAACTAGAATTAGCTGTTTCCAAGAACAAAATTGTGGAAAAATGTTAATGTTACAATATTATTAAAAGAGTTTCATTAAGAAATTTCAGCATCTCCATACTTTGTATTAGGGGTTTGAAATTTGGCATGTGTCTGCATGGGAATCACCATGGCTCCAGGGATATACCTTTGTGTGTTCCCATGAAAAATTGGCCAAATATGACTAATTCATAAGTTTTGAGGGGAGAGAGAATCTGTCTGCATATGTTCAATGGAGGCATGTTAGACTTTTGCAGCTAAATCTTTGAAGATTGTCTATATATCGCATATTTTCATCCTTGGGCTGGGGCGGACTGCCCCTGCAATTACTATGTCTAGCTGTTGAAGGGCCCAGATACTGAACCAGAGAGTAGGGAGACTGTCCTATGCTCTCCATGCCTAGGCAGCATAGAAAGTGTAAGTCTCCAATGTGGAAAGGAGAAGACTCAGATATGCGTGTGTGGAAGGAGTAGATTGGGACATGGATCAATAGGGAGGGACTGAGAGCTTGGGTGGAGCCACTATGTGAATAGAGGATGGTGGAGGAGGATATTGAGAACCAAAGATGTAATGGGGAACAATGACAGACTGGATAAGAAGCTGGGACCAGAGGAGAAACACTAACAGGGAGGGTAGAGACTGGGACAAGTCTGTCTGAAGAGTGAGATCAGGTGGCTGGGATTAGGGAGAAAAGATGGAAAGCTGAGACTGCACAAAGGGACTAGGATTAGGTGGTCCGCACAACTGGGACTGGTAGGAGGAGGGAAGATTGAGATGAAATGAAGCACTTAGCATGAGTGACAAGGCCCTGAGGTAGGAAACTGGAATGGGGGGGAGGGGTCTGGAAGGGGAAAATTGAGGTATTCAGATTTCATGAACAATCTCCAATAAGGTAAGCAGCAGCAGAGTTAAAATGAGCACTGAAGAAAATGATCAATAGTTGAAATCTGATACAATAGTTGACAGCAAAAGATTGAACAGGAGGTGATGTGACCAAACTGACAGAGAAGGAAGCTGACAAACAATTGAAAGTCAATAGTTGTTTTCATTAACACTTATGAATGCATTAAACTCAAGTATTCTGAATCACTTTCCCCAAATCTGGCACTTCTCAAGTGTCAGGGATACAGTTAGTAAGTTCGATCTTGAGCACCTAGCATACTTCTGCAGAGAAAAGGATGTGATCAGCATTAACAATTAACTGTGCTACTTTAAAAAAAAGTATTCTAAAGCCAGTGTTCTTATTTTACAATGTGTGTCCTTTCCAATGCACCATAGACCAATTTCTAAAATTGTGACTAGTTAGTTTGCTTATTTATAAACATTAATGGTAACTTTCCTGAAGTCAAGCACCTGATCCTGACTAGCATTTTTCACTCAAGCAGTAAGTCCAGATCACGTGGCTGGAACTATTTATGTGATTAATAACTTCTATTAACAGATGTCTTGCTATATTTGCATTTGTGGCCCTCAAGATGTACATTCTTATGGGCTAGATGGGCATATTTTGTGGGATTTCCCATTACTTTCACAATTTGGAACTAGATTACAGTGCCAGAAGCGAAAACCGGAACCAGCATATTGCTGAAGAGCATTTTTCAACATGACACATTCTTCCCTAGATCCTCTGCCTCAAACTTACTCTAAAAATGAATTAAATGTATCTAAAGTTTGATGGCTAAGTCCAATCATTCCCAGCAAAATCCTATACATGGCATTTGGGGATAGAATGATGCTAAGAAAATGAAATTGGCAGTTTATACACTTCAATCTGGATTTTAAATCAGTACTTGTTTTCAGTGCCTTTTGACTGACGTTTCTTTTTTGATGTCATGAAGTATGTTGCTACTACTGCTGAATGCCAAATACAGTGCACTTAAAAAACCGCTTCCTTTGCCACTATGCTTCTGCTTAGATAAACTAATGGGACTGGAGTGGCAAAAACAGCTTTCAGAATCACTGCTGTATATTGTCAGAATTATTTTACCTTCTAATACATATTTGTCATCAACTAACAAATATTGCTTTGAATCAGAAAAGAAATGCTGGTTGAAGGTAGCATTACTTGAAAATTGTTATTGGTTTTCGTTTCAAAGGTGCATTTATAAGGAGGATTTCTAACGCACAAATAGCTACAGGAGCCAAATAAACTAATTAGCAATGCACGTATCGCTTGAGGGCATGAAACACTTGTAGATTTATTATTATTGGCTCATCAAGTATGCGTGAGAGGAAAGGAAAAAAACAACCCTGTCGTTTCTGGGGTAGAATTTAGTTCCTTAAATCTGGTTTTCTATGGATTGCTTCCGATGGCATTTCAGATGTTTTTCTGATTTCCACACAACTTGGAACATTGCAGGATGAAGCAGAAGGGTGACTTGGAGGCATGAAACTGGGAAGTCGTGTCAAAAGCCTCTAAGCTGCACGGTCCATTTGTGACTCCTTCGGTAAGATACTCAAGATCTAAGCATGGGTGGTGGCATTACCCTCCCCTCTCCGGTACGCTGTGCAGCGCCGTGGATGTGCGGCGTGAGCAATGAGATGAGACTATCTGGCTTGTTTCCTGCGCGATCTGCCACGCTACAGCGAGGGGCACGGGCTTTCCCCCGTAGCCTCGCCAGGCACTGGCTGGGCGCGCTCGCCGGCTGCGCCGCTTGAGGAGCGCGCTGCTTCCCAGCGCCGCCGCCGCCTTCCAGCCCGGCTCCTGCCAGCCGCCCGTGGGTTCCTTTGCGGCTCTCCCGCTGCGCGGCTCCGCGCCCTTCACCTGTGGTGGGGAAGGGTGAGGCGCCCCCCGCCAAGCAGCCCGCGCCTACTGGCGGCTCCTCTCCCCTCGCTTTCCTCCCGGGCTGGGAGGCGGCAGCGTCCCCCCCCCTCCCGCCGCGGGGTTTCCCCCTCTCTGGCTCTCGCTGGAACATCAAAGTTTTCCTCCCTCCTCCAAGCCCCCTCCCCGCCCCCGAGCCCTTATTACTGCGCAGCCGGTGCACAGAGGGCTGCTGGCGGCGCGGCGAGCAGATTACAGCGATTAGCAGCGGGAGAAGCGGCGGCGCCTCGCCGGCTCCCCGCGCTGCCCCTGCCCGCCGAGGCCCCGGGGAGCCCAGCGCAGCCTCCCCGGTAGGCGGTGGCAACGACGGGGACGGAGCGGCGAGAGCCGGGCTGGCAGCGGGGCGGACCGACGGCGGGGCTTGCAGCGGCAGCTGCCGGGCAGCGGGGAGGCGGCTCGGGGCAGCGAGGGAAGGAGCGGACCCCCCATCCCTCTTCCCCTCCCCCACTGTGTCTCTGACATTGTCCTGCCCGCCCCCAAGGGACTGGGCTGCCGGCCGCGCCCCCGCACCAGGCTGCGCGCCGGCCAGCCTGCCCGGGGCTGCCGGGCTGTACCGCTAACCCCGCCGCCCGGCTGTCTGCGGCGTGCCTGGGACTGAGCATGCGCCTGCCTACTGAGCATGCTCATTAGCGCCCGCTGAAGCTGGTGCCCGGTCGCTGCTCTAGGCTTGCAAGGGGGGAGGGTGTTAAAAGTGGCAGCGGGGCAAATCGGGAGAGAGAGAGGGACGGGCGGTGTTCGGGCAGGGCAAAGACCGACGGGGGGGGGGGGGGGAGCAAAGCGCTGGAGGCAGGGGGAGGAGAGAGTCAAGGGGGAGACCTGGGTTAAGCCGCGGGGTAAGGACACTGCCAGACGGGGTCAGAGCGGGGGAGGTAACCCTGGTAGGGAAGGACGGGGTAACAGGCACGCGACGGGGTGAGCCTTCCGTGATAACTGGAAAACCAGGGTGTTGGGGGCAGAGGCTTTTCCATCCACCTACCCTCTCAGGACGGCGCAGCTGCCTTCTGGATGCCTTCCAAAGCCTAGACAAGACAGCTCTTCACTATCTGATAGGATGCATTGAGCTGCTAAAAGAGATTTGATTCAGTGAAATAGTTTACTGGTGCCACCCCTCTCCCAAAATTACAACAGTCACACATGGTTTTAGTGTTTAAAAGAATCATTTGTCGATTTGTATGACTGCATAAAGCTTCAGAACAATTCACACATTTGTTATATGATGTTCTGATTGCCTGGATTGAGCTGCCTCTTGTAATCCATTCAGAACAATTCACACATTTGTTATATGCTGTTCTGATTGCCTGGATTTAGCTGCCTCTTCTTGTAATCCACTGTAAAAGTAGTTTCACTCCTCCTTTAAATTATTCACCCTTTCAAGTGTTATTTTTCATTATTTGTGACTATTCATCATTTACCTTCATTAATATTGTGCAGATAAATGTCACTGTTCTATTTAATTCATATTTCAATAAGCAAATAAAGCATTACAAATATTAATGGTTGTTAGAAACACAGATGTGATTGCTTACTAATATAGAACTTCCTGTTTGTATTGAATTTTATGTTTTTATTTTTTCATTTTTTAATACATAAGCTTATTTTTGTGATTCATGTTACTTCAAAGCTGATTTTCCTGTTTTGGGATCAAAATCTCTTTAGTTTCCTTTGATCCACCAATGGGGATTGATTTGGCAACTACTGTTTTTTCTCTCTATCCAGCACTCAACTACTTTTTTCAGGTCACCACTTGTGTATAGAGTTTGGTTCCCAAATATTCCCCAGAGGCCAGATTTTAAAGGGTGAAAGTATTTAATAATCATTAGTTGCCTAAATATCTCTAAAAATTGGTGCAAGGAACACTGAACAAAAATGTACAAAATCTTTCTCAAAGAATAATTTCTTCTGTAAATTGTACTGAATAGCAGTATGTGACCCTGAGACATAATGATCACCAGAAGTATTCAGAATTCATGAATGTTACACCAGAGAACCATGAAATTAAAATAAACATATTTGGGGTTCTTTTTATTGACTTTTTATTTCTAAACCTTTCGGATGTGCTAGCTTCATACATATTGCAGGTGGTACCAAGCTAGGAGGATATGCGAGTATTTTGGATCATTCAAAATGATCTGGAGAAATGGTCTGAGATGAATAGAATAAAATGCAATAAGGACAAATGCAAAATACTCCATTTAGGAAAGACCAATCAGTTTCCCACCTACAAAATGAGAAGTGATAGTTTAGGAATGAGTACTGCAGAAAGGTATCTAGGGGTCGTAGTGGACCACAAGTTAATATGAGTTAAGAGTGTGAAGCTGATACGTGGACCACAAGCTAAATATGAGTCAAGAGTGTGAAGCTGATACAAAAAAAGTAAACATCATTCTGGGATGCATTAACAGGAGTGTAGTAAGCAAGACTCAAGAAGTAATTCTTTCGGTTGGCTCCGAGCTGATTAGGGCTCAACTAGAACATTGTATCCAGTTCCAGGTACCACATTTCAGGAAAGATGTGGGGAAATTTGAGAAGGTCCTGAGAAGAGCAATACAAATAATTAAATGTCTAGAAAACATGACCTATGAGGGAAGACTGAAAGAACCGGGTTTGTTTAGTCTGGCAAAGAGAAGATGACTGAGAGTGGGCATAACAGTTTTCAAGTACTAAAAAGGATGTTTGCAAGGAGGAGGGAGAAAAAAAATATTCTCTCGAATTGCAGCATGGGAGGTTTAGGTTGGATATTAGGAAAAACTTTCTAAGTGTCAATGTAGTTTAGCACTGGTGAAAATTGCCTAGCGAGGTTGTGGAATCTCCATAACTGAAAATGTTTAAGAGCAGGTTAGACAAACATTTGTCCGGGATGATATAGATGTTGCTTTATCCTGCTATGAGTGGAGGGGACTGGACTTCATGACCTTTTGAGATCCTTGCCAGATCTAGCATTCTATTATTTGCAAATATATTTCTGAAAGAAACCATATGCTTAAAATACTTTTAGATTTCTATAACAATCAATATCATTTCAGGCTTCTAGTATCATGTGACTTCCTGTTCTCCCTTTCTAGCGAGGTTGTGGAATCTCCATAACTGAAAATGTTTAAGAGCAGGTTAGACAAACATTTGTCCGGGATGATATAGATGTTGCTTTATCCTGCTATGAGTGGAGGGGACTGGACTTCATGACCTTTTGAGATCCTTGCCAGATCTAGCATTCTATTATTTGCAAATATATTTCTGAAAGAAACCATATGCTTAAAATACTTTTAGATTTCTATAACAATCAATATCATTTCAGGCTTCTAGTATCATGTGTCTTCCTGTTCTCCCTTTGTCAATGAAAAACTTATTAAAAATTTTTATTTCTGTAAGAAATTCCCCTCTCCTGTAAACACTGAACTGCACACTTTACTCATCAACTTTAGTGTATGTAGCAAATGAAATAATAGATTTTTCTTCTAGTTTCATGTTTTTATTTCCTAATATTTTAATATATGCTACATGTTCTTTTATGATACATTTCAATGATCTTCATTCTCACAAATATACTCTTCTGTACTGTCAAAACCAATGATTGTTAAAAGAGTTATCCTGTTGCTCTTTTGCATTGGTTATAGTTGTGCACCCATCTTATAGTAGTTCCACCTAGACACATACTCTACTTTGCTTATGAGCATGTTATAAGGGACTATGTAAAAAAAGTACAAAAATTAAGATCTAGCACACCTACTGCTTCTCTTTCCTGTGGTTAACCTTGTCAAAGAAGGAAATTAGGTTGGGTTGCTATGATTTGTTATTGACTAACCCATGCTGACTGTTCCTTATGATCAGATTATCCTCCAAGTATTTACAAAATGTTTAATAATTTGTTCCAGTATATTTCTAAGTATCAAAATTAGGGTCTGAGTCCTTTTTGTTCCTCTTTTTAGTGATTTAGGACTAGAGTCAAAAAATGTAGGTCTTTACATCCCAATTTTAGACTCCACTGCAATTCCCAGAACTTTTTCCAATCTTTTTAGGCACCTAAACTCACTGAACACCTACACTTTCAGAGTAAAATTTATTTAAGTGTTTAAGCTTCTGCCGCTAAGATTTATATTACTGCCTTATTTTAGATATATGCATGCTTATATTCCACCTAAGTTCCAGAGAGATTAATGAACTAGGGAAGATGGGGGAAGGGGCAAAGCTTATTTTGCATGCAGGGCCCAAAATGGTAGGTGATCTTCGAGGCTGTTAGGTGATTTGGTCCCATTCAAATTCTAGTTGAAGGAAGCCATGGGTCACCATCCACCTTTATTTCTAGTTGTTAGAGCATTTATTTTCAGTATAGGAGAACCTAGTTCATTTTCCCCTTCAGGTGGTGGGGGGACAGAGAGATTTGAACAGGGTCTCCCCTATCAGTGCTTTGTGTAGTAAGCTAGAAGTTACAGGAGGGTACCACCATCTCCTCCCAATGTGGAATTAGTGACCTGCTAAATTCATTGTCTCATGAAACTCCAGAATGGGAGTTTCCATTTGTGGATGACCAGGCAGAACTGGATGCTCCCTGT